ATGATAATTCATTGACCAAGATGTAATTGTCATGCTTGAACTCGGTTATAACTAAGACCCAGCGATAGTTATTATCATTAACCGTTCATTATACCGAATTTTTACAGTATGATAACATAATAATTGCCTACCTTTCTTCGCCTTTTCTAACTCACAGCACATCCGATTTTCTGTTGTGATTACGTCATCGGTCTGGTTTCCCTTGTTTTTGGTTTCTAAACGTGTAAACATTGTTTCATATTGTATGATTAGTTGTTTTTCCTTTTTTGTTCCATTATATTATAATAGTTTATCATGTTTTTACAAACCTGGGTGAATTTTTACTATCTCGTTGGACAGCAGTTCATCTTTGTCCGTCAAAGAGCACACTTCTTGGGACTTTTGCGTTTCCCTTGTGGAAGCGTTTGCCATATCCCCCTGACTTTTGACGTCATCAACGTGTCTATTCCATCTTATCCAATTGAACCATCCTCCAATTATTGTAAATATCTGCTTTTGAACTGTCGATATTTTTGACATGCTGCTTTGCTTTCTTACATTTGCCATTTATGCTATTACTTCTAGTAATATTAATTCAAAACTCACTCGAATACTACGAACAAGCCTACGCTTACTAATTATATAATATTTAGTAAATATGATGTTAAATCTGCAATGCACAGGTGCAAATAAAATTATTTCACTAATAAAATATTAGACGAACTTCTATACGGAAAGATCAACAATGTTTGTTCGATATCTATGCCAATATTTGTAACAAGTCGTGTTTTTATTAGAGCCACGATATACATTTTTATTTAACACACTATAACTTCTACCGTATTCCCGATGTATTTGTGTTCTTATTCAAATTTTCGGACATATCAATGTAAAAACAAAAACATTAGTTGTTCCATTTAGTCTTTTTGTGAAACAGTCGAGTGTTAATTTTTCGAACGAACGTAATTTTTTTTACCAATACCAATTTTTACCAATTTACAGTTTACTTTTACATTATAGTAAATTAATAGCTATTGGAATATAAAAACAGCATAGTTAACAAAACTTTTCAAGCACCTATTTATATAATTATTTAATTATCATAATATTTGTATAGTTGTATATTTTAAGTTCTAAGCATAATAATGAAACTACGAATGTATTACACGTCATCAATAATAAAACAATTTTCATTTTTTTTTTTTTTTTTGGCCCTGGGGGGGTTTGAACCCGAACCCCCCCCCCTCGCATGTACGTCAATGACTTAGAAATTAGCCATATGCATCTGGATAATGTTAAATATTGATGGATTAAGTCCAAAATTTAGATATTAGCCAAAGGCAGTGTTTATACTTGTTATTAGCTAGCTAAACTTGAGATTTGTCACACTCCTAACACTAGCCGTAACATAGACATGCATATTATGTTCACGTGTAAGTCTATGGAGCTTTTTAATTCACGGTGTCAGGTTGAAGACGGAAGCTTTGCTGTATCGGACAGACGTCATAGTTTTTCGTCTTCTGTTGTAGTAGTATTAACGGGTAGGTTTGCGAATGTGGTAATGTAACGAAAATATGTTTTTCGTAAGAAAACAAATGTATATAAAGTTCTGTTAAAAATAGTGTGATCATGCCCAACGAAAAAAAAAAAATTGGCCTAGTGCGTAAAATCTGCTTTGTCAATCTGACTGACGTCCGATATCTTTTTATTTATAAATAGAATATTTAGTGATAACACGGGGCGTATTTTGTACTTGATTGAAGTAGATTGAAAATATTAATTCCACAAAGCCAATGGCTTGGAAGCAGCCATTTTTTGGTGTTTATAATAATTTTGTTTTTATTTTCATATTTTTATTAACAATTAGTGGAAACTTTTATAGATTAACAATTACAAAGAGTATAAGTTAAAATTATTCGATTAATCAAGATAATTTCTATAATTTATTATAGATAAATATTTATATTATATATTTACAATATTTTCATAGTAAAAAAAAAAAAAAAATTGATAATGATATTCTATTATTATGTGGCTATCATCACATAAAGCACATCTGTCATGAATTTGATAATTCCGATACGTTAACCAGTACAACTACAACTGCTGGTTCTTCAAGAATACAAAATTTGGAAATGTATGCTTCAATATCTAGAAAACAAACAAATATAAATCGGGAGAAAAATCGAATTTGTTATTCTGAAAAAATAGAACAAATACATCAAGCATTGAGTATTTTTGTTCAATTATAGGTTTTAAAGAATATATTTCTTGTGACAAACGTCTTAGCTGATCGTGGTACAACAAATTTTGCAACGGTTAGAAAGTTGAAAATTACAGAGTGACTGGATAATAATGGAAAGTCTATTAATTTTGTTAAAACCATTACGAGTTGATACAACCCTTTTATGTGTCGAAACACATTATCCAATATAAATGGTTAGACCATTGATATCAAATGTGATAGAAAAACATTTGAATATGAAAAAAAATTATAGCGCCATCGTTGTACTTTTTAAAGAGGCAGTGTTGTCGTAACTAAAGAACATTTTATGGTGAATAATTTATCAGATAAAATAAGGGAGCACGTGAGTTTTTATTTTGCAATAAATTCAATGACATCATATACGGCTAACCGGCAGAACCAGAACTGAAGTGTTGATCCGTTTAAATGGTGTGACAAGGCACGATGCTATCCTCGGTGGCTTCTGGTCAGGACGATGGTAGCTCAAGTTGCTCAGACTTTAGTGATCAGATGCAGAGAATATTTTAATATAAAAAGTACGTGGCACTAGTGTTCCTCCCCCCACTAGTGACAATTAAATGTTACTCAGTAGTGTGATCATGCCACTAACCAACACATTATCATAATGACCATAGTGACAGGAGTTGATTTTCCCTGTATGTTCCTCTACAGAAAAATATCACATCTATGAATTACATGATGGTAGACAATTTTGTTGATGTGCCACCCAATGAAAATTACTTAAAATATGTTCTGATCAGATGAGAAACCGAGGTGTGCAACGTGATCCGGTTGCTTGCAGCTGGATGGTGGTAGAGAGTACTAGCTACGGTCGACGTTTATAATTATTTATAATTGTCAAAAGGGCTCAACCTCTATATTTTCTAAAATAAAAAAATAAAATATATATAAATGTATAGTATACAAATGTTTTTAGTATATATTAAAAACAAAAAATACTATGTAAATTTATTTTATTGAATTTTATTTGATTTTGTTTTATTTTAGATATTATTTTTTATAAACTGTATGACTGTGGTTAAAATTTAATTTGTATAATATATTTTTTTAAATTTTTTGATCTATACAACTAATGTTGTACATATAGCAAATTGTATAATTGTATTTTGTACAAACCATCTACTTTGTACGGCAACATTGTACATTTCGTGATGTATACAAAAATGCTAATACAAATTGTGATAGTTCATATTGTGATACAGTTCTAAATTTTGTATGTAACATATATATATATTTCAATAATTGATGAATCTAGATAAAATGAGATACATATAGACAAATTAATGATATTTCTTTATTGGTTTTTTAAACTTGAAATCAATGTTACCGTTGCTCTTGAAAGATCCTGATTGAAAAAAAAAGTCTTCTGTATAAATTTATACTTTTAAAGGTGGTTAATATAGTGGTAGAATCAATTTTTTTTAGTAAGTTGGGTACGTTGAACTCTTTCAAGAGTTTTATCTATTGCTCAAAAAAAAATAAAATTAAAAAATTGGCATATACCATAGATAGGTAAGATAATGTCATACAATTTTTTATTAAGTTGGGGAAGAGAACTTGATAAAAAAGGAGGAGTCTCTTGTTATTAAATTATAATCGATTACAATTTGGAAAAATTAAAAATTTCTTTGAACAGAACAAAATATTTCGAAATGTCTTTAAAATGCTAAGATGAGTATCTACTTAATAAATCTCTCACATAGTTATGATAAATACGAGAATTTATAGAATGAAAAAAAAAATACAATTTTATGGAAATTTGTTGAATTATCAGATTTAGTCGAAATTTTATCATGAAAATTTAAATTTTCAAAACCACAAATTTGACCTCTAACCCTCCCTCTCCTGTGTGCGCGACTACAGTTAGTAAATTAATGGTGTTTTATTATTATATTTTAATATTACATTTTGTGTACAAGAATATATAATTTATATTAATTTGACACTACCGAGGATCCGGGAGACGATTGATCGTTTACCTCCTTGGCCAATCGACCTCTGTATATTGAAGATCTTTGTATTAGATATCAGGACATTTTATTGATATTTTCGAAAAATGCTCAGAGAACATGAACATTAAAATTTTCTAAAATCGCTCAAAAAATCTATTAAAAATTACAGTCTATATCAAACCGATTTTATAAGTATTCTTAGAACTATCAAGTTTTTTTAATTATATATTTTTCGAGTTACTACGAAAAAAAAATAAAATATTGTAGAAAATTGTTGAAATGCTGTAAATTTTGTTGTTATTTGGTAATTTTTCGTTAGATTACCGCAATTATTAAGTAAACTATTTGAAAAATCTTAAAATAATTCCTTGAAAGTATCAACTAGATAATATTTCTTTATTAAGCCTTTTAACAAGTTTTTCGTTATTATGATTATTGAAATAATCCTTCTGGTCGAAATTGTATATATGAACACAATAAAAAACACAAATTATAATAAAACTGTTTTATTCAACAATTAAACAATTCATTTGAAAAATTATTTGATGTAAGAAAAATATTATTTTTCTTCTAGAACAAAATTAATTTACTAATTTCAATAACGTCAATGAAAACAGTATTTATTGCAAAGAATTGAAAATAGTGACATTGCTAAACATTTTTTTCTCAAAAAAAAAAGTACTTACTAAGAGTTTTTTTTTTAAATGAATATAAATAATTTATATGTTATCTACTATATAGTTTCTTTGTATACTATTAGTGAGATGAACCACTTTTACTGGATATTCGGCATTAGAATATGATGGTCACGGATATTGCCTCTTAAAATTGCTGTCGACTCTCTTCCTACCTCATTCGGAAGTTGGTCTCGGAAGAAGTCCTTTAATTATTTAAAAACCATAAGCATTGTATAGAGTGTAAAATAAATAAATAACAAAATAATAAATGATAAGTAGTCAGAAATGCTTATTAGATGGTCTATAGATGTAGGTAATAAGATATCAGAAACAAGAAAAATGAAATATTATCAGAAAGTGCATACTTTCTCTTTGTAGCAACTGCCTTTGATCTTTAACTGCACCACCTATGAAATCGCAAATGTTGGTAATATAATTGTCCAGAGCCAAACAGTTGGAAACACTTAGAATATAAGCTCTACAAACAGGACACATTTGATTTCTATTCTTCCATGATTCAATGCAAATTTCACAAAAAGTATGGTTGCAATTTAGAACCATAGCCTGAAAAAATAAAATAAGTTATCATATCAAGTAAAGAATAAATATTAAAAATTGTTTACCTTGTACACTAATTCATTACAAATAGAACATTGAAATTCATCTTCTAACTGAGAATAGATTTGTTTTTTCAATGAATCAGGTGATTCCACATTATTTAATGCATCTAAAATTTATATTGAAATAAATTAATCATCAAGAACATTTCAACCAGAAATATAAGACATAAGAAATGTATAAAACAACATACCCTTTAATTTCACCATTAGTGTAGACATTTCTTGAATCATATCTTGTTCCTTAAAGATAGTGGTATACAAATTAAAACACAAATATAATCATGAAATTGTTTACATAATATATGATAAAATATAAAACGGGGAATAAGAAAAATATGATTGAATAAACATTGATTTCTACTTACTTTTTTAATTTGTGTACTTGTAATTTCCACAATATTGCTCATCTTATTTTGCATTTCAGCTAATTCAATTTTAGCTTTATTTCGTAATACTATATGTTTAGCTTTTAACTATAATCAAACAACAACAATAATAATGATTATTATAACACTGTAATATTTTAAATATTCAGTAATTTCAGTTATTTCTAACAAAATGATAAAGTTAAACTTACATTCAATAATTCCTTCTGAAGGTTTGTTATGTTATTTTTATAGGTTTCCTCTTCATTATGAACTTTTAAATCATGTTCATTGTATAATCTAATTATTGAACAGATATATTTATATAGAAATAGAAATAATTTCAATAGAAATAATAAATATATTTAAAATTATTAAAATAATAAAAGTAGCAATAATTTGAATTCTTGTTTTAGTGTTCTTTTAACAGAATAATAATAATCTTTATTATTAAATGGTTTAAATATACAAACATATGTAGTAAATAGAAGAGTAATATAATTATACTTATGTAAAAAAATATTTCTGACGTAAAATAAAAATATTAGCACTAAGTACAAAAAAAAAATTAATATTGTATTAAGAATAGTTTTAATTTTCTAATTTCCTGTTATTTAAATATAAATGTTCCTTTGAAATATTTTAATTTATTTACATTATTATTTTAAATCAATTTTATTTACCTTGGTTTTTTGTTGGAGATATTGTGTAAGATAAATTTGAACGTCATAGTTATATTTCTTTTATCACCGAAGCCAATAATATCTCCATGTTGTAATTGTGTGATATTACTCGTACTTCTTGAAAGTCTTTCGTAATTTAAGAAAGTACCCGAGCCTGACTGCTATTTTTTGATTTATATAAAAAAAGAAAATAATTGTAAGGATTAAATTCAAAAATATAAATTTCATAATTCTTATTCGATATAGGTTTTTAATTTATATAAAACTAATAAAATTTATTGAAAATATTTTTCAATAATATAAAAAATTGAAAACCATAAAGTTAATGTAATTAAATTAAATTATAAATTAATTAATACATTATATTATTAAATGTCTAAACAATTTATTAAAAATAATTTTATATTTTTCGTTATATAACACAAGTAATATATCCTAGCCAAATTCGAAAATAAAATCAGGATCGTAAGACTTCTCCAAATAAAAATAGGCAATCTACTTACCAAGTCAGATATGAAATAACGGCTATTTTCATATCTGATTGAACAGTGACGGCGAGACATGAATAACTCTTCAATGATGACCGAAGAGGTAAGAGCGCGTCCAATGATAAACTGTAGAGATAAATATTAATGTCAGTTATTAGTCTTATAGATATAGAATTAGAAGATTATATATTAGACAATATCAACTTATAGCCACCATCCAGTCAATCACACAGAGGACCAGGCGCTAAAGGAGCACTGAAATTTCAATTGTGACACAGCCACACGACCAATAAAATAGTACCAATATTAGTTAAACGTACTTCTGTGTCCTGATTTATCGGAACCATCCAACCATTATTTACGTTCATTAAGGATGCTCCTACCGAACAATCTTCAATGATGGGTCTTTTAGAAGACCGCACCTCATTCTTCATATCTTTTAACATAATACTTGATGAGCAGTGCGCAACATAAAGTTAAACAGTATTTTTATAACTGTATACGGTTATTTTTGAGCGATCGGTCATACGAAAAATACGTAATTCGAATACGAAAAATGTTTGTGCGAAATACCGTTACGTTCGGTAGCGATACGATCGCGTTGTAATGTGTTTTACAAGAAGTTACGTATTGTTTAATCCGCGATTTAAAATATATATATATATTTTTCGAGATACTGCGAAAACCATAGGCGTGCGCAGATTTTGTCCGCAGGAGGGGTCCCTTAAAAAAAGTGAACTAAAGGCTACTAGCATAATTAAATATTTTAAATTTTATAAATTATTTATTTAATTCAATATGCAAATATAAAAATAAATACTATTTTAACTTACACAGTTTACATCTAAGAAATCCTTATTTACAAATTATTATACTATTTACCACTCCATCCTTCTGTCCACGGGAGTAAGGTTTTTGAATGTATCAATTACATCTTCAATTTTTATATAATATGCAAGTTCTGATTAGTCTGATTAATGTCTTATAACTATTTAATAGTAATATATTTAATATATTACATTTATTCACAGATATCAATTCTATACTATGAGATTAAAACTTACTTTATTCATGTAAAATGTAAAAATGTTATCTATCTTGTATAGTATAGAAATACATTTATTAAAGAAAAATCCAGAGTCCGCAGGGGGCTGCCCCCCCCCCCCGTGCACACGCCTATGACGAAAACAGAAATTCGATTTAGTAGAAAATTGTTGAAATGCATTAAATTTTGTTATTTGGTAATTTTTCGATACTTTACCTCAATTATTAAATAAACTATTTGAAAAATCTTAAAATAATTTTTTGAAAGTATCAACTAGATAATATTTATTTATCAAGCTCTTTCACAATTTTTTCGTTATTATGATTGTTGAAACAATCCTTCTGGTCGAAATTGTATATACGAACACAATAAAAAAACACATTATAATAAAATCGTTTTATTCAGATTCTTTAACATTTTATTTGATGTAAGAAAAATGTTATTCTTCTTTTAGATCAAAATCAATTTATTATTTTTATATAACATACAATGAGAGCAGTATTTATTGCAAAGAAATGACAATAGTGACATTGCTAAACATTTTTTTTCGAAAAAAAGTACATACTAAGTATTTATATATATATTTTTTTTAATGAATATAAATAATTTATATGTTACCTACTATCAAATAATTTTGAATACTCACCAACCAATCGCCGAAGCAGTTCTCGCCTTGATAGATACATCATTAATAATTTTATATCTATCTAGTTAGATTTTATATATATATATGTAGATTGATCAATAAAAATAAGCGAAACCGTGAAAAACTATTAAGAAATTAATATTCTGTTTTAGACGGATGTAATATTCATACCAATGCACTAGTAAACAAATACTGATTAATAATCAATAACTAGATTATATTTGTAATATAAATACCGTTGTCATTTCTTAGTTACATAATTCCTAAATTTATTTTTAATCTTGTTTTAGCCGTAATACTTGTTACGTACGTTTTTAATAATGCAAAATTATATATTTTATATTATGCACAACATTTAATTTCCATGTGTAGTAAGGATATAGTCCGTATGTACGTAAAGGTTTTAATGAGCTCGAGGGAAATTTTCTTAAGTGTTTCCCCCTCTGAATCCACATTTGAATGCAATATAATATACTTAAAAACATAAGTGTAGTTTAGTGTCCTCAGAGGAGAATTTCTTTTTCAAGTTTATCATGTAATTTTTTCTTCTTTACATGTACTTATTATATAGATAGTATACATAGTGTAAATAAAAAAAAAAAAATTGTATTAATGATATAGTATTTATTTAAAATAAATTCCTTGATTTTTGGTAATGATTTTATGTACAAAACCAACTGTATTATAATAGTTTTATATTAGATGATAACATTTAATCGTTTAATCCGTCTCAAATCTATGATAAAAATTGATTTATGTTATTCATATCAAAGCTCGATATACATTTAATTTTTATACTGTTCACAGTTTTTTCTCGGAAAGTTTTTATTTTTTCTATTATTCTACTTCACTTATGTGTTTATTGAAATTATTATGAGTTCAACTAGTAAGACAATATTATATTAAAGTGTATAAGTTTAGTAACCATTGATAAAACCAATTGAAAGATACCCATTAGAAGGTCAATTTTATTTACAATTGGAGTAATGATTTTAGTATTTTAAATAAATAGTTTCATTATTATTTTACATGTATTTTTGAGATATTTTATTTCCCTAAACCCTAATTAAGTTCATTATTTTTGTTGGTAAATAATTCGAGGGGAAATACCACATCTACTCAGTACTCATTCATAGTTGGAGATCGACAAATGTATTCAGTAATCCTTAAACCTTATCCGCATATTTATTGTACAAGTTGCATGTACCCAATTATATATAATAAATATGTATGTATATATTTATTTAATTTAGATCTATAGCTTTGGAATATGGAAGCCGCCAAATCGTGATTTAAATTCTGCATGGCTTAGCTAACTTATTCAAGATCATAATTAGCTCTACAAGTAGATATATTTAAGTATGTATACTCGTAATATTACTTTTATGATGAAGATAAAAGACTACGACGGGAAGTATAACACGTACCGAGTAATAAGCATTATTAAGATCACATAAAAGACTCAGGGTTTCACTTTAAATTCATGTGATTAAGATCTCAAGTGTCAATGTTGTGGTTAAGACATAATATACTTTAAAATAACACTAATAAGTTACCTAATTAACAGTTGTTAAAAGTTAGATTAAACTTGTTATTCAAAGGTTTTGTAGAATTTGAAAGTGATCAAACTATAGTCATATTCACCTCCCCAAACACGGATTGAGATTTAATTTTTTGAAAGTCTTAATTTTTCATTAAAGTAAATCCTATTTGCGAAATTGTAGTATTTGTGCGGTTTTATTATAAGTATTACAAAATTTCTTTATAGCTGATAACGTCGGATTGAGTCAAATAATAGCACTCTAGGCGCATTACATTATTTTTGGTTCTTTAGAAAATAAAAATAAATAAATAGTCACTATAAAACAAAAACAGATTAGTTCACAGAATTTTTTCTTTCTTTTTTAAAAACTTTGTAATACACAATTATTTATGACAATAAATTAAATAATAAAACCAGTCTGATTGAAAAAAGAAATTATTGGAAGAACAAGTATAGTTGAAAGCGAGGAGATAATGGAATAAGTGTTAAATGGAAGCTTGTGTTGTTAGAGATGGTTAAAATTGAGAGAATTTTTCGTCGGGGGATGAAAGAAAGACAAAAAGAAGAATTGGGGTGTATTGCATATGGCCTCGGTCGTATGTCAGGTGCAAAGAGAAGAATTATTAAGAAATAATTTGTATGAGTGGAAAAAGAGAAGAATACGGTTTATTCTATCGTGAAAAACATCGTTTTTCTACTAAGGTTTAGATTATTAAATCAGGAGTGGGATGGAATCGAAGAAAATATGGTTTTGTACCAGGTAGTGAAGGATAAATTGTTTCGTTGATTTAATCATAATTCAGAGACGTAAACATTGGACGAAAATCTATCTGGGAAATTAGAGTGTGGGGAGGGCTAAGGATGGAAGCTGGATTGGGTAACTAAGGCATCAAATTTCGTGAATGCCATTTATTCATCTCACAACAATTAATTAAATTTATTATTGACTCTAAACGTGTCCTTACTATACTACCGTTGAACGGTGACACGCGACATGATGTTTGACGTCTACAATATTTTATCATTATGACTACGTATGGTTTAGGCCATGATCAGACTTTGGCAGACAGAAATGATGTTCTTAATTATTTGTCCTTCACTGTTGGGACTCGCCACGGACCGCGGTACGGTTGTGGAACGGCATAGGCGCTCCGTAATCATCGCCCAAGCGTTCGAGATTCGAAACGACGGCAGTTTTTCGATTGTTGTTTTTGTTGATTGTTGTTGAGTAAAAAATTCGAATCTCGAAACACGTCGCGGACGGAAAAAAAAAAAAAAAAAAAATCTCAAAAAAAAAATCTGACCGTCACGGGGGGATGTTGACGGCGGTGGTCGACCCGTCTCGGTACCCGTTGGCGGCCGGAGGAGCAGCGGGTCGCGACGAGTGCACCAACGTGTGACGTGTGCACGACGTCCGACGGCCGCGGCGCGCTCCGGCGTCCGCGGCGTGCCGGTCATGCGCTCTGGCCCGGCGCCTCGTGGACATCAGTCCGTGAACGTTTCGCCGTGGCAGCACACGCGTACCGCAGGGACGTCTCTCAGCAGTGGCCCGCGGCGTCGTCGTCGATCCGTTCTCGTCCGCCGCACGGAGAACCGCCGCCGCCGCCGCCGCCGCCGCCGCGCGCGCGATACGATGACGGCTTACCGGTCGCGGTAACGCACGAACCGGCCTGACCGTCCGGGTTATTTTTGCGCCCGGTCGGCGAGACCGAACGGAACGCGATTTACGGGCCGCGGAAAAATTCGAACGCACCGGAGCGCCGCCGCCGCCGCCGCCGTCTTATTCACTGGTCCGCACGCGTACCGCGGTTTCCGTGTTCGGTAAAACCGTGGTGCGTCTAGTTACGCGCGACCGCCGACGAAAAACATTTTCCCTAGACGTTGTCCGTAAGTATATTGACGCGCGCGCGAACAACATTTTCAATTTTCCGTACACGCGCGATTGTCGGTCGCGTGCCAACGACGGGCAAACGGATTCCGGTCGATCGCGATGAACGGATCGTAAACGCTATACGATACGTCTGATCGTCGTGAAAAATAAATAAATAATAATAAAACCGATTACACCGCGACTATGGTACCTACTACAGTTTTCAAACCATGTCAAGAACACTTACACTTGCTGACTTCGCTCCGAATGTCTGGACATCAGCTTCCGCGACATTAATTCGAACGACTAATGCCCGCGAATCCGTTTCACAACCGTTTAAATAAAATGTTTTCCGCATTCCGTCCTCTATTTATTATTTTACGGATAATATTATGAAAATCATGCGGACACTATTTTTACCAATTCGTTTCACATCAAAGCCCGTCTATTGTTACGGAACAGTTTATATTATTATTTAAAATCTAGTCATCTTTTTTCAATTTAAAAACGGTACTTGTTCGTTAACATATTATTTTATTGGGTAATGTGGACTATGCGGTTTTACATATAACAAATTATTGACGTCTTCGAATTTGGTTAGGAGAAGAACAATTACATTTTTTTGTGCGTGCCTAATTGTTGTCATCTGGTGCTAACCTTAGGGTTGACCGTTAATGATAAAAAACAATTATAATTTAATATTATCATATACAAACGATTATAACTATATTATACTAATTTTATACGATTTTATATACGTTATTATAATATTGTATTATTGTATATTCTTGTTGACATTTTTGTTTTGATTTTATCGCACTTTTAATGCTGTTTCTGGACATTTTTTACTTTCCGATCAATTATTTTAAATATATTTAATTTTATACTCCATTTAAATCTATATATTTACTTTATCTTAATAATAAATTACAGCCATTTATTAGTTGTGAAGTAGTGTTTTAACAGGTTGATTTGTGCACAAATTAGTAATCATAGATATGATATAATGAGTTCATATTGATACGAAAAGAGTATGTTTAACTACATTTTTCGCATTCAATATTATTTAAATAATACATTTAAGCATATTAAGAATAAATTAATTCAAATGCTAAAATATTAAAAGTATTGATTTTTCTTATAAATGGTATATAATATAGTACACTCGATTAATAATAGCATTATTACGTATGATATCTATTTTGAATAATCTCACGCAATCATCATTATTATGTATGAAATAGTTTTTGTACTAATTATGGTCTTCTAAATATATAGTAAAAACTTCTCTGTTAAATCTCTGTATTTTTAGAATTTATCAACTGAGGAATATATTATAGCCCTGTTGCTTACCTATAAATTAAAAACATCTTTGCTTGAGCAACAAACTTATAAAAAAGTTATAAACTGTTATAGGTTTATATATTTTCCATTGTTACTGGTTAGATAAAACGTACGAAAGGTTTACATAAGTATTTTTATAGTAACAAAGATGTTTTTTAGGTTACAAAATAGCATATAGACCAGTGTGTTATTATTTGCAATGTAATATATAATTTATATGAAATTGACATTACATCCATTGTCATCTATTATCATGAAAATAAATGTATTAATATTCTGAAAGTTTGTATCTAATGTTAATAACAACTTCAAAATCAAATATTACATTAGTTCATGACGTTTTGATTTTAGTTGCATTCATTTGAAATTATTTATTGAACTATTTTAAAATTAAAGAGAAATCATTAGGTTTGAAAGTTATATTTTAAGAAAAGTAAAAAAAAAAATTAAAAAAAATAAATAATTGAATGGTTTTTTGTTTCGGCATAGTTTAAAATCACATTATACTTTTTCTTTAAAATATATTAACTTTAATTAATATTTTAAACTACATAGCAATATAATTTTAATTTTGTTTTTCAACTAAATCTGTTCGGAATATTTAACCTATTATTTTACTTAAAGGTTTAGTAAACACTTAAAGATATTTTTTGTAAGTCTGTAATTAATTCAAAAATACTTTTTTTTTTTTTTTATAAAATTAATGCTGTAAAATATTCTACATCACTTAGTTGTTATTTAGGATGTATATCGTTTTGTTTTTTATAGCTATTTTATTCTAACTAGTTAAATTGTATACAAAAATGAATGTACACACAAAAAAGTAATAAAAATTCACAGACATGTTATATAATAAACAATCACGCAATTTAAAATATTGCAATAATACAATGTTGCAGAACAATAAAAATGACTTATCTTGATAAAATATCAAAGATAAATAAATGCTTTGACATAGAATGTCGTTTTAATTTTATGAAACTATTAAAAAAATTACTTGCATTTTTGTGTTAATAGGATATTTATTTTCAATAAGCGATTGCTTCCATTACTAAAATTATAATATTTAACTGAAACTTTTAAGCGACATAAAGGAGTCTAGGCGAGTACTTATTGTATACGAGTAAATTTTGAAAATATCTTCTAAATCGGATACATAAGTATATGTATAATTTATTGTACGAGGGAGAAGGTGGCTGTAAAAAGTATCATTTTTATTCTATCTATTATGTTTCATACAAAATTACCATGAAAATCATATCCCACCAATTAATATGATTACTTCTTAGTCCCCGCACAACGAACTTATGTTATAAGTGACATTTCATACTGTATGTTCATTTTTGATATTGATTGATATTCATATTGATTGATTAACAACAAAGTAATTTGTATAAAACGATCTGCGTTTATTGAAAATATCAATTATGAGTAGACATGTTCAAAGAATTAAAAACTGATTAAGCGTGCACAAGAAAATCACTTATAAAATACATTAAAATTATTCATTATTAAAGTATAGATTTTTGGGAATAATCTAGTAAAAATTATATGGTCAAAAATATTTTAATTTAATTTTAGGAATTCATTAATAACATAACTATGAATAAATATCTATAATTTGAATTTTTTATGAGATTAATGATTTTTTTACAAAATCAAGTAAGTTTATCAAAGTTGTTGTTTGTACTTAAATTGGAAAAATGTTGAAATAAGCAATAACATTAAAATTGTATAAACTCGTACATTTGTATCTTTTTTAATCAAATATACATCTCTGATTAGCTTTTAATCATATTCATAGAAAAAACATGCAAATGAGCCAAATTCTCTAACATCATTACTCACACAGATGTATATTACTTATATGGTAAACATAAGGTCTCTACAGAATATATCCACTCAATAGTGTAATTACGGGGGTGCAAAGGGTTGTAACTGCGTCCCTCAAAATGATATAAGGAACCTAGAAATGTAATTGTGAGTATACAAAACTCCGTGATTTCTTTAATTTAATTAACCGAGATATAGTTTTAAATATTACTGAATATTTAGAATCAATATGAAAAGAGTTAAATTTAGGTAATTAATAACTTATTCAATTATAGTGAATTAAAAAATAAAATAAAGAAGATTATTAATTTGTGAATTATGCATTGGTGAGGTGTATAATGAATTTCACATGACTTCGGTTTACATTTTCTATAATTTAATAAGCAGGAATTTGAAATTGTTTGTTCGAACACCCTTAGGATATACTTATTTGCATTTTAATGCTGTAAAATGTAGTAAAATTATCCATATATTCAAATGGTTATCATAAAAAGTTTCAATTTATTTATAACTTGCACCTACGCTCAATAACATTGGTGTTTTGAGAATTTGAAACTTTTTAAACTTACATTTTTTGCAAAATAAAATTCAAATGTTCGTACTTCGTTTGCTGTCTTATTGTGTGTTTATTTTACTTATACAAGTATTTTATTATTATTTATCATTTACAACCATAAATAAATTCTACGGCGTTAAAAAACGATCTTGTGTGAAACTTGTTCATGGTTTGATCATATTTATTCTTTAGACTTTATCTGCTTATAAAAAAAAAACTTTTCAGTACGAATTGATAACCAAAACCAATTCCAACTGAAATTAAAACTTCATTATTTCAATATATAATACAGTTTTAATTTTTAATTATGAATTTCACGTTTCGATTAAATAAAATCACCAAAATAACCGATTCGATAATATGTAATATAGAAATTAAAATGTATGAAATTGGATCTAAAATTTTAAAATATTTAAGGTGCATAATTATATCAGATATATAGATCTTTGTACGGCTTATCGATCAACTAATTAGTTGATAAAACATTTTTTATAGTTTTGTAGTAACATTTTATGGTTTTGGTAAAAATTTAAATAGTTTTCCAGAATTTTTTTGGGAAATAATTGGTCTTTCACGTATTTAACAATTAAGTTTAATTAGATTTGTAAAAATGATTGCTTTTATACCTATAGAATGTAAAACTCTTTTAATTTATATAACGTTAAAGAGTGTTTGAAAATATTTTGATTTTAAAAGTGTCAAAGAAATGCATTTTGTAGATCACAGTTCATCAAAATTACATTATTCATTTTTTATCTGTATATACCTGCTAATATAATATTGTTGAATTAAAACGATATGTGCTAAATCGATAATTTTGTCCAATTGTAAGCATATATAAAAAATGAAATCGTGCTTAAGTTTAAACATTATAGTTTTATGATATTTAACAGTTTGATCATTGAATCATTATAGATTCATGGGAATTTCAAATACTGAGCTTATTGTTTGTTTGAATTCGTTTTTAAACCATGTGAGTATTATTTAAAAAAAATAATTGGTAAGCGTGTTATTCTGTATTGCAGATCATCAGGTATTGAATCGTTTTTTTTGTCTCAGAAATAATGGCGATTGGGAAACTATTATTTTAAACGTGGATGGTATACTCTTAACATAAATGGTTTGATAAATCATTGTGATCAGGGTTTGATTTGTCTGCAACTGATCAAGTGTTTTGTTGTGAATTGGTACTTTGTTACATTTTATATTATGTACATTTTTTAAGTCAGCCTTGGTATGTTTTACCATCGTAGAAATAAAGAGAGACCAACGCTTGATGGCGAT